TCACTAGTCCCGACTAACCGTTTCCCTCCCCTCCCCCCCCCCCCCCCCCCCCCCACCCACCCCCTCCGCTCGTCAGCCATGTCGGCGGAGTTTGCGCGGCGGAATATCCCCATTGCCACTTGGGCCGTCTCACCCCCACTCACTCGCCCGAGACGGCGGCCTTTCACCATGCTCATTGTAGCGATACACTCAACTTACGAGCAAGCAAGCAACCCAAGGTACACTCCTTGTTTTCCTCTACATTGCCAACTGTCTGTCTTGAGCAGAAACGTTCTTTTCTATCTCTGGCTGGCTGTACCGTAGCGGCTTGTCTGGGGGGACAGGGGTAGCTTCGGGCCAGCGACCGAAGAACAGCGCCTTTTGGCCTCCTTTTCTTGTTGGGCACGAGGCAAGCCGTCCATATCAAACTCACGATCATCCCTTGTTCCAAAGCAGGCATCATGGCGGACAACTCGGCGACGGTGGGCAAGACGATTACGTGCAAGGCGGCGGTGTGCTGGGAGCCGAACAGCGAGCTTGTTGTGGAGGAGATCGAGGTGGCGCCGCCCAAGGCCGGCGAGGTCCGGATCAAGGTGACGGCGTCGGGTGTGTGCCACACCGATATGTACACCAAGGACGGACACGACTCAGAGGGCATGTTCCCGTGCATTCTCGGGCACGAGGGCGCCGGCATTGTCGAGTCGGTCGGCGAGGGCGTGACCTCGGTGGCGGTTGGCGACTACGTCATCCCGCTGTACATCCCCGAGTGCCGCGAGTGTAAGTTCTGCAAGTCGGGCAAGACCAACCTGTGCTCGGTCATCCGCTCGACCCAGGGCAAGGGCGTCATGCCCGACGGCACGTCGCGGTTCACGTGCAAGGGCCAGGAGGTGTATCACTTTATGGGCACCTCGACCTTTGCCGAGTATACGGTCATTGCCGAGATCTCATGCGCAGTCATCTCCAAGGATGCGCCGCTAGACAAGGTCTGCCTGCTCGGATGTGGCATCACCACCGGCGTCGGCGCTGTCCTCAACACTGCCAAGGTCGAGGAGGGCGACGTCGTGGCGGTCTTTGGCCTCGGTGGCGTCGGCGTCTCGGTCGTCCAGGGCGCCCGCCTCGCCGGCGCCTCGCGCATCATCGGCGTTGACCTCAACCCGGACAAGTTCGCCATGGCCATGGAGTTTGGCGCGACCGAGTGCGTCAACCCGGCCGAGTTTGACAAGCCCATCCAGACCGTCCTGGTCGAGATGACCGATGGCGGCGTCGACCACTCGTTCGAGGCCATCGGCAACGTCAACACCATGCGCGCCGCGCTCGAGTGCTGCCACAAGGGTTGGGGCACCTCCACCATCATCGGCGTTGCCCCGGCTGGCGCTGAGATCTCGACCCGCCCCTTCCAACTCGTCACCGGCCGCAAGTGGCAGGGCTCCGCCTTTGGCGGCGTCCGCGGCCGCTCCGAGCTCCCGGGCATCGTCCAGCGCTACCTCGACGGCGACCTCAAGGTCGACGAGTACGTCACTCACAGCTTCCCCCTCGCCGACATCAACGTGGCCTTTACCCTCATGGCTGAGGGCAAGTCCATCCGGTCTGTCATCTCTCTGTAAGCCTGACCCTACCTCCAAACCCCCTGTGCATCCGAGTATGGGGACATCCGTCATCAAACGTCAGACAACAAACAGTCTCTCCTCCACCTTTACTCCTGCCTGCATGTTTGGCGACGAAAAAACAACCAACACTGATCCGATAAGGGGAGGGGGGGGGGGGCGACGGGAGCCACGGTACGCGTGCGTGCAGTCAGGTCGACTCGTCACGCACTGCAATTCCCCGGAAGCGTGAAAAAGGAGTCACCTTTCGTCTCGACATTCACTGTACGTGTTGGTGGCGTCGATCCCGAGTTGTGGTCTTGCTCCACACCTTCCCTCCCCTGCATGCATCCTTCCTCCTCTTCCTCCTTCTCCTCCTCCCATCATCGTCACGACCATTTTCTCTCTCTCTCCCCTCCACCTCTTTATCTACACTTTCCCCCTCAACCCGGCCCAGCTTCCACGCCACACATCCCCCCTTCTGGAGCTGCGCCTGGCGTGATGGCGAATTTCTTGCGAAAGCTGCTGCGCCTGACGGCCACCCGCCCAACGACGACCACCTTTTCTTGCCTTCACCGGCTGCATGCACCCCTGTACTTCCTCCCTCCACCCCCTTCCCTCCTTGCCTTCCTCCCTCCCCCCCCCTTCACACACACCTGGTCGCCTGACCTCTGTTCACCTGAACGTTTCGCCAAAACTGGGGAAAGCAGAATTTGACGGTGGCAGCTTTTTTTGGGTGGGCAAAACCAAACGGCAACGTCGACCGACCAATCACCCAGTCGCACACTCACACTCTTTCCCTTCAATCAACTACCCAGATGTCGGCACGTACGAACCGTCGCAACCGCAAGAACAAGAACGCCGGTGATGACGATGACAACGCCCGTGTCAAGTACAAGTGGGTGCATGATGACGTCGATGGCTTCTCGCTTGGCGAGGTGGTCGAGGATTCGGGCGACACGGTGAAGCTCCGTGTGCGCGGCGAGGAGGTGACGCTACCGGCGAGCGAGTTGTCGGCGGTGAACCCGCCGCGGTTCGACAAGGTTGACGACATGTCGTCGCTGACGCACCTGTCGGACGCCACGGTGCTGCACAACCTCAAGGAGCGGTACTTTGCCAACATGATCTACACGTACTCGGGCCTCTTTTGCGTGGTCATCAACCCGTACAAGATCCTGCCCATCTACACGCAGGAGGTTGTCGACCGGTACAAGGGCAAGCGCCGGGCCGAGATCGAGCCGCACGTCTTCACCGTCGCCGACGAGGCGTACCGGTCAATGATGGAGGAGCGGCAGAACCAGTCGATGCTCATTACCGGTGAGTCTGGCGCCGGTAAGACGGTGAACACCAAGAAGGTGATCCAGTACTTGGCGGCCATTGCCGGGCGCATGTCGTCGGACGGCAAGCGTGGCGAGCTCGAGGAGCAGCTCATCCAGGCCAACCCGATTCTGGAGTCGTTTGGTAACGCCAAGACGATCCGTAACGACAACTCGTCGCGGTTTGGCAAGTTCATCGAGATTCAGTTCACCTCGACCGGGCTCATTGCTGGAGGCGTCATCGACGTCTACCTGCTCGAGAAGTCGCGCATCGTGTACCAGGCCGACAACGAGCGCAACTTCCACATCTTCTACCACCTGCTCAAGGGAGCGCCGCAGGCCATCCGTGATGAGCTCCAGCTGACCCGCTGCGAGGACTACCGCTGGCTGCGCGAGGGCACGTACGATGTGCGCGGTATGGACGACACCGAGGGATACGAGGAGGTCGCCGAGGCGTGGGAGACCATGGGCGTGCCTATGGAGGAGGTCATGGTCACTTACCGGTGCGCCGCCGCCATCCTGCACCTCGGTAACGCGACTTTTACCCAGTCGCGCCGGTCCGAGGATGCGCAGGCCGACGACACCTGCCGCGCCGCGCTCGCCGCGGCGGAGCAGCTCCTCGGCCTCGCTGAGGGCTCGCTCGCCAAGGCTATCCTCAAGCCGCGGCTCAAGGCCGGTGGCGAGTGGGTTAACAAGTCGCGCTCGGCCGCCCAGGCCAAGTACGTTGTCGAGGCCCTTGCCAAGTCGCTTTACGACCGGCTCTTCCGCTACATTGTCGCCCGCATCAACGTCTCGCTCCAGAACAAGGAGACCCGCGACCTGTTCATCGGCGTCCTCGACATTTCTGGGTTCGAGATCTTTGAGGTCAACTCTTTCGAGCAGCTCTGCATCAACTACACGAACGAGAAGCTCCAGCAGTTCTTCAACAACCACATGTTCAAGCTAGAGCAGGAGGAGTACATGCGCGAGCAGATCGAGTGGGACATGATCGACTTTGGTCTCGACCTCGAGCCCACCATTGCGCTCATCGAGCAGACGACCAACCCGTTCGGCATTCTCTCTATCCTTGACGAGCAGTGCTCGTTCCCCAAGGCGAGCGACGAGACCTTTGTCGACAAGCTCGCCGAGCTCCATGCCGACAAGCATCCCAAGTTTGAGCTGCCCAAGTTCTCCAAGACCAAGTTCACCATCAAGCACTACGCCGGCAACGTCGAGTACGATGTCGAGGACTGGCTCGAGAAGAACCGCGACAAGCTTGACGATCCCATTGCTGTTGTCATGCAGGACTCGACCGACAACTCGATCTCGGCCCTCTTTGACGACCTCAACCCGCCGCGCGAGGGCGTGGCCCTCAAGGCTGGCCGCGGCTCCAAGAAGGTCTCGCGGCCGTACATCTCACAGGCACACAAGACTCAGCTGTTCTCGCTCATGTCCACCCTCCGCTCCACCACGCCGCACTTTATCCGCTGCATCAAGCCAAATGAGGAGAAGCGTCCCGGCCACATCGACGCCCACATGGTGCTCGACCAGCTGCGGTGCAACGGTGTGCTCGAGGGCATCCGCATTTGTCGCAAGGGCTTCCCCAACCGGCTGCAGTTCTCCGAGTTCCGCGACCGCTACAAGATCCTCGCTCCAGGCAAGGTCCCCGACTCGATGATGGACTCGAAGAAGGCGTGCACCATCATTGTCGAGCACGTCGGCATCGACGCCTCGCAGTACCGTGTCGGTGTCTCCAAGATCTTCTTCAAGGCCGGTCGCCTTGCCGAGCTTGAGGAGCTTCGCGACGACATTCTCTCGCGCATGCTCACCAAGCTGCAGGCCGTCATCCGAGGCCATCTTGCCCGCACCCAGTACTCGGTCATGGTCGAGAACTCGCGTGCTGTGGAGATTCTGCAGCGCTCCATCAAGATGTACCAGAAGCTCCGCCACTGGGGCTGGTGGGAGCTCTTTGCCAAGATGCGCCCCATGCTCAAGCACGAGGACATCGAGGCCGAGATGCGCAAGAAAGACGAGGAGATTGCTTCCCGCGAGGCTCGCCTTGCCGAGATGGAGGCTGCCCGCAAGGCGGAGGAGGAGCGCGCTGCCAACATGGCCAAGGACGTCGAGGCCATGAAGGCCAAGGTCCAGGAGGCCGAAGCTGCTGCTGCCGCCGAGAAGGCCCGCCTTGCCGCCGAGCGCGCCGAGGCCGAGGCTGCCGCCGCCGCCGAGCGCCAGCGCATCCTCGACGAGCAGGAGGCTGAGCGTCGCCGCATCGAGCGTGAGCTCGAGGACGCCAAGGGCCGCTCCAAGGAAGAGGCCAAGCGCCTCCGCGAGAAGCTCGAGAAGGAGCGCGAGGAGCTTGAGCGCCGTGCCGAGGACGAGCGGGCCCGTGCCGCCGAGGAGCTCCAGCGCGAGCAGGAGCGCATCGCCCGCGAGAAGCGCGAGGCCATCGAGCGCATGGAGAAGGAGAAGGCCGACATGGAGGCTGCTCTCGAGCGCCGCCGCGCCGAGCTCGAGGCCGAGATGCGCAAGACCGCTCGCAAGCTCGAGATCGAGCGCGAGGACCGCGCCTCGGAGGCCGAGAAGCGCGCCCGCGTCGAGAAGCAAAAGTCCGACCTCGAGAACCGCCTTGCCGAGCTCGAGGCCGACCTCGAGGACGAGCGCGCCCGCGTCTCGTCGCTCGAGTCGGAGAAGCGCCGTCTGCAGGGCGAGCTCTCGTCGACCTCGTCGCGCCTGGCCACCGAGGAGTCGGAGCGCTCCTCCGCCGAGTCGCAGATTACCTCGGCCCAGGCCCAGCTTAACCAGCTCTCCGCCGAGCTGGCTGACAAGAAGGCTGCTCTTGAGCGCGCCACCTCGCAGGCCTCGTCGCTCTCGCGCGAGCGCGACTCGCTCGAGGACGAGCTTGAGGAGATGGAGCGCGCCAAGGCCAACGCCGAGCGCTCGGCCAAGAACACCAGCAAGGAGCTCGCCGACCTCCGCATCGCACTCGATGACGCCGAGCGCCGTGCCGAGGAGGCCTCGCGCAATGCCCGTCGCGCCGAGTCCAAGGCCAAGGCGGCCGCCGCGGCTGCTGCCGAATCGTCGGGCCGCGGCTCGACCTCGGACGCCGAGGTTGAGCAGCTCAACGCCATGATCCGCTCACTCCGCGAGCAGGTCGCCACGCTCGAGGGCAAGCTTGGCTCTGAGTCTCGTCTCCGCAAGAACCTCTCCCGCAACGTGGACGAGCTGCAGGACGACCTCGAGGCTGCCGAGACTGCCAAGGCCGACGCCGAGCGCCGCGCCAAGCGCCTGGCTGCGGACCTGTCCGAGGCCCAGGCTGACATTGCCGACGGCGAGACCGAGCGCGAGGACCTCCTCGCCCAGCTCGCGGCACGCACTCAGGAGGTTGAGGCAGCCCGTGCCGAGGCCATCACGGCTGGCTCGGCCGCGTCGGCCGAGACCATGGCCCAGATTACCAAGCTCCAGTCGGAGCTGGCTGCCGCCGAGGACGAGGCCGAGACTGCCGCCCGCGGCAAGACTGCAGCCGACAAGTCGCTCCGCAAGCTCAAGACCGAGCTTGACGAGGCCAAGCGGACGCTCGAGGAGGAAGCCCGTGCCAAGGCCGACCTCTCGAAGAAGGTCTCCAAGTCGCAGGTCGAGATCGCGTCTCTCAAGGAGCAGGCTGCCGAGGCCAACCGGTCGGCCACGACTGCCAAGACCTCGCTTTCGTCGGTCCAGGAGCAGCTCGTCAAGGCCCGTAACGAGGCCGAGGCTGCCGCGCGCGCCAAGTCGTCGGCCGAGAAGAAGCTCCGCGCTGTTACCATCGAGCTCGATGACCTCAAGGAGCAGCTCTCCGAGGCCGAGACGACCGCCACCGACGCCACGGTCCGCATTCGCCTGCTCGAGACTGAGCTCCGCGACGCCCAGTTCCGCGCCGAGGAGGAAGAGGACGCCGCCGCCACGCTGCGTGCCGAGCTCGACCGGCTTCGCCGCGAGGGCGGCGGGGCCGGCTCGGCCGGCATCGACACCGCCTCGGCCGGCAAGCTCGAGGACCTCGAGCGCGAGGTCCGCTCTCTCCAGATTGCACTCAACAACGCCAAGGAGGACGCCGACGACGAGCGCCGCAAGCGCATGTCGGCCGAGCGCGCTGCGCTTGCTGCCACCAACGAAGCCGAGGACTTCCGCGAGCAGCTCGACAACGCGAAGGCCACCATCGAAGCTGTCGGCGACGGCAAGGCTGCGCTCGAGCGCCAGATCCAGATGCTCCGTGCCGCGCTCTCGGCCGAGCAGGCCTCGCACCTCCAGGCGCAGCTCCGGCTCTCCAAGATGGAGCAACAGGCTGCCGAGACGTCGGGCACGCTCGCCCGCCTCGAGGCCGCCCGCGAGAACGAGCTCAAGCTCCGCCGCGAGGCCCAGGCCAAGCTCCGCGATGCCGCCGAGGACGTCGACGACGCCAAGCGCGTGGTCGAGCAGATCGAGCGCTCCAAGCGCCTCCTCACCGACGAGATCACCGCCCTCAAGGACGAGCTCGTCGATGCCGGCGAGGATCTGCAGGCTGTCGAGGCCAAGCGCCGTGCGCTCTTTGAGGAGCTCGAGGAGCTGCGCGCCAACGCCAACGCCGGCGCCGGCGCGCAGACGCTTTCGCTTCAGGAGGAGAAGCGCTCGCTGCAGAGCCAGCTCGACGAGGCCAAGCTTGCTGCGGCCGAGGCCAACAAGCAGGTCGCTGCCGCCACTAAGACCAACAAGAAGTTCACCGCCGATCTCAAGGCTGTCAACGCCCGCCTCAAGGAGGAGTCGGCCAAGCTCCGTGCCGCCGAGAAGACCAAGAAGCAACTCAAGCGCGACCTCGCCAAGGCTGTCTCGGACTGCGCCACCGCCCGGAAGGAGAAGGGCACCGCCGAGCGTAACGCCGCGGCGGCCACGACACAGCTCGACGACTACAAGGCCCGCTTTGAGGTGCTCAACAAGGCCAAGACGACGCTCGAGAAGTCCAAGACGGCACTGGAGAACCAGCTCGACGACCTGCGTGACGCGCTCGAGGTTGAGAAGCGTCACAAGACGCAGCAGATCGAGAAGCGTCGCGAGTACGAGACCGAGCTGCATGCTGTCCGCCAGCAAGCCGAGACCGCGTCGGCCGCCGGCTCGGGTGCCTCGGGCGAGGCCATTGACGAGCTCAAGCGCCAACACATTCTCGAGATGGCCGACGTCAAGAAGTCGATGGCAGCTGACTTTGCCGTGCAGATCGAGACCCTCGAGTCGGCCAAGCGCTCGCTCCGCGCCAAGAACGAGAAGCTCAAGCAGCTGGTCGAGGACCTTGAGCGCGAGAACTCGTCGATGGAGAAGCAGATGCAGCGCGCGGTGCGCGAGGCCGAGGAGGCGACGTCCAAGCTTGACGACGAGATCAAGAGCCGCATGGAGTTTGAGAAGGCAAACCGGGCCCTGACTCAGGAGAACAAGAGCCTCAAGCACAAGCACGAGGTTGCAGAGACCCACCGCAACGCGCTGGTCGAAGAGAAGGCCTCTGTCACGGTTGCCCACCAGGAGGCCTCGTCGCGTGCCGACGACGCCGCCCGCAACGCCATGCTCGCCGAGCAAAAGCACAAGCAGCTAGTCGCCGAGCACGACGCGCTCCAGGACGAGCTCGACGACGTGACCACGGCGCTCCGCGAGGAGGAGGAGAAGGCCGCGCTCATGACCGCCGAGCTCGAGGATCTCCGCGACCAGCTGGCCGAGGAGGAGGCTGCCCGCAACGAGTGGGAGTCGTCCAAGATCGACCTCGAGGATGAGGTCTCGGCGCTCCGCGAGCAGATCGAGACCGAGGCCGCCGAGCGGACCGAGGCCATGGAGGAGTCGCGCAATGCGTTGCTCAAGGACGTGCGCGAGCTCTCGGAGCGCTGCGAGGCCGAGGAGAAGCAGAAGCTCGAGCTCGAGAAGGCCAACCGCCGGCTCGAGAACGCCGCCGAGGACCTTCGCGACGAGATCAACGCGCTCAAGCGTGCCAACCTTGACGCCGAGAAGAACGTCGCCCGCATCTCGTCCGAGCTTACGGCCGCGTCGGAGAAGCTCAAGGAGGAGACCTCGCTCCGCGCCGAGTTTGAGCTCTCGTCCAAGCGCTTCGAGATGCAGCTCAAGGAGGCAACCGAGCAGCTCGCCGACGAGACCCGCGCCCTGGAGAATGCCCGCGCTAAGAGCAAGACCCAGGACGAGCGGCTGCAGAACGCCCTGCTCGAGCTCGATGAGGAGCGTGCCGCCGTCGCCTCGCTTCACTCGGCCACCCGCGAGCTCGAGTCGGAGCTCGAGGACGTCCGCGACAAGCTCGAGGAGACTGAGACCGAGAACCGCATCCTGGAGGATGCTGTCTTCAAGCTCAACAAGCAGATTGACGACATGCACCAGGAGCTGACCAAGACCGATGCCACCAACATCAAGCTCGAGAAGGCTAACCTCGCCTACGAGCGCGACCTCAAGGATCTGCAGCAGCGCCTCTCAACCTCGGACGGCCGCTCGCGCACTTCGGTCGAGCGTATCAAGGCTCGCCTCGAGTCCAAGGTCGCCGACCTCAACAAGCGCCTTGCCGCCGAGACCAAGACCAAGCTCGAGCAGCAGAAGCTCAACCGTGCCCTCAAGAAGGAGGTCCGCGAGGCCAAGGCTGCCGCCAAGGAGGCGTCCAAGGCCCAGGCCCGCGCAGAGTCCAAGGCCGCAAAGTCGACCGCTCGCCTCGCCTCGCTCCGCGACGAGTACGATGAGGCCACGACCTCGCTCAACCAGGTCGAGACCGACCGGCGCAAGCTCCAGCGCGACGTCCAGTCGTGGTCCGAGCAGAAGGCCCGCCTCAACGACGAGATCGACCGCCTCAAGGACAAGCTCTCGCTCGAGACCAAGGCCAACCTCGAGCTCCGTGCTAAGCTCACCGAGATCGCATAAGTCTGCTTTCGCCAGCCCACTTTCTCATATCATCAAACAAGTTTCATTTTGTCTTTTGCGCCGGATGGGCGTGATGTAGTGGTGTGTGTTGGTGTTGTGGCTGTTGTGGCTGTGGCCGGTTCGCGGGTGGCTGCTGCCATTCGTGTTGAGCAGCCGCACGGCTCAACTTGGCTCGCCAACACACCCCACTCGGCCAAGAGCGACATGGCGGAGGTTCCGGGAGACGACGTCGCGGCGCTTCTTGCAGAGGACGGAGTTGATGCAGTGGTGTATGCCATGCCGTTCTCTGACTTTCTTCTGCTGGTTCTGGCTGTTCTGGCCATCTGCGTCTTCCTCCGCAACCTCGCCCGCCGCTGTCTCGGACACGATGCGACGGCGGCAGCTGCAGCCGATGCCCGCCGGCACAGCTCGTCACAGTCTCAGCCCAAGCCGAAGCAGTCCTAGTCTTGAAAAGTGCACATGCAGTCACCATCGGCCGGCTTTACTCGATGACCATCGGTGCAGGATCGGCAGGCATGGCCGGAGCGGGCTCAGGCGGAGCAGGCGCAGGCACAGGCGCAGAGGCTGGAGCTGGCTTGGCGCGCTTGGACGAGGTGGCTTTGCGGCGCTTGCGGCGCTTGCGCGAGCCGTCGTTGCGGGGAAGGTCAAACTTGGTTCCGCACGTGGAGCAGGTGAGGGCAAACGAGCAAAAGACAGAGAGGCACGAGGAGCAGACGTAACCGATGGAGATGGTCTTGCGGTGGCAGAAGCAGGTGGCGCGGTAGTCGATGGCAGTGAGGGTCGGGACCGAGATGTGGCGCCGGGTCATGGCGTCGGCGAGAAAGGCGGTGAGAAGGAACTGGGCCAGCGAATTCTGGGCATCAAGCGACGGCTTAACATACGCTCCGCCGGTCAGATGGGTTGCCTGCTGCAGGAAGAGCGAGTGGTCCGGAGCAAGGACGCAGGCGTCGATGGCAACCTGTAGCTTCTGCGCCGAAAAAAGCGCGTTCATGACCGAGACATACGTCGAGCCGCCATCTCCGTGCGAGGTGACAACCAGGATCCGCGGCTTGAGGGCCGGGCGGAGGGCAACGGCCCGCGAGATGCGGCAGAGCGCCACCGAGAGCGCGCCAGCCATGGCCCAGCCGCCACCGTCGACCGCTGCAGCGCGACCGACGTCACCGGTCTCCTCCACAAACCGGCGCATGGCCTCTGCCAGCTCCTTTGTCAGTGATGCACAGTGCACCCGCTCAACAGGAAGCAGAGCCGATCCCGACTTGACCGCCAGCGCCACGTCTGCCTCGACCGCCAGATCGATCTGTTCAGTAGCAGCAGCAGCAAAAGTCAGAGAAGAACCAGGAGCACCTGAGCCAGCTTGTTGTGGTGTGCCAGTGACTCTCTTTGCAGCATCAACCAGAGCCCTTGCATCCGGGTACACCACCTTTGCATGGACACCATCAGCAGCAACCAGAACGAGAGCATTGGCATGATTGAGTGCCATGTAGGCATTGGCAAAGACAGAGATGTGTCGCCAAGCCGAAGCAAACTTTGTCTCTTCTTCCGCACTTCCGAATGATGCATCCACCACAAGTACAAGCATTGATAGATCATCTGTATGGATGGGGGGGTGAGGGGGGTCATGACCTGAGGCATGGAGGGGGGAGGGGGTGGAGGGGGGGGGGGACGGGGGGAGAGCGGGGAGGAGCGGCGTACCGGTGTGGACGTCTTCAGCACCACCCCGTTGGTCTGTCATGGTGGGTATGTGCGGTGGTAGTGGGAGAGAGAGAGAGAGAGGTGTGATGGACGTGTATATATATGTGTGTGTGTGTATGAGAGAGAGAGTGTGTGTTGTGTGTGTTGTGTGCGGGTTGTGCGATTTGGTCGATTCGCTCGCCGACTCGATGGCCGACTTGCTTGCCGTGGCAGACGCGCTCTTTGGCTACTTCGGACGGCAATGATGGGCTACGACTTGGGACTGGGCTTGATCAGAGTATAGGGATATGTGAGAGTATGATTAGTGGTGGCGATGGTGATGATGAGGGTGATATGGACTCGATGGCCGACTTGCTTGCCGTGGCAGACGCGCTATGGCCGACTCGCTGGCACAGACCAGACTGTCATGAAGGGCAACGAGGTTAGTTTGGCCTTGGTCGTATCCATAGTCTCCCATCAAGTGCAGTTGATGGTGATGATGCAGGTGATGCAGGTGATGACGGTGATGTGGGTGTGACTGGTGGTTGACTGCGATCGCGTTGGCCTCGTCGGCTGTGGAGAGCTGCCGAGGTGGTGTGGGTGAGGGGGAGGGGGGGACTCGCCACAGCTCACTTACAAACAAGCTGGAAATGAGATGGAACATGTGGGCATGTATGGTATTGGTGGTGGTTGGAGTGGTGGGACTGAGAATGGCCGCCGCGAAGAGAACGAGCTCGATGCCTTCCGCATACATGACGACGGGCACAAACGATGCCAACCAACAGAGTGCAGAAGCATCAACGCAACGTAGGATCCAAGAGCAACATCCAGCGTCATTATCGGCGACTGCGCGAGTGGTTGAAGGCAGGCCAGCCGAGTCCGGTGCCTATCCACCGCTGGCAGTGCTTCTCAGATCTGGTGCTGTCCGTTGTGTGGCCTCCATCATCTCGCCGCAAGTCCTCCTCACCGCCGCGCACTGCACCATCGGTTCGTCGCCAAGCGATTGGACGGCCAGAGTTGGCTCTAATCTGCCATTTGAAGGTGGCACGACTCACTCGGTTGCTCGTATTGTGGTCCATGATGGATACAACTCGCAGACGTTTGCCAACGATGTCTCGCTCCTCATCCTCTCCGCGCCCGTCGTCTACTCGCCCACTGTTGCCCCGCTCATTCTGGCCTCGGCGGAGATTGCAGCTGGCACAAATGTGACCGTCGCCGGGTGGGGCTTACAGGCAACATCCGATACCCAGGCAGCTCCATCGCTGATCGAGGCAGTCATGAGCTCCGCGCCCATGTCCGAGTGCGAGGCAAAGGGCTCGTCCAACACCGGCTCTGTTGTCTGCGCTCTGCCCATCGCCGGCAGCGATACCTGCCAAGGCGATTCAGGTGGGCCGATGCTGACCGGCTCGTCAGCCATCCGATTCTATGTCTCGGGCGGGGTGCTCTCGTTCGGCGGCACGAGCTGCGGCACGTTCTCAGTCTTTGCTTCCATCCCGAGCTACCGCCCATGGATCGAGGCCAGCATTCCAGCTGACCAGCGGACGCTGCTGGTCTCCGGAAACCCCAACGCGGTCACTTTAGTCGTCCACACCGATTCTCTGCCCGCGACCGTCTTTGAGCTTGCCGAGCTCCGGGGCAACATTGTCGTCAACAGCTCACGCTCGCTACTGGGCCAGTTCTCGCGCCTCTCCTCGGGCGCCTCGCTATCTATCGAGGCGCCGTTCTCGGTCACTCGCACCCTCGCCCTCGACAACAACTCGACCCTCGTCACTCGTACCGGCACTGCTTCCATCGGCACCGTCATCTTTGCTCCGACTTCTGTCTACCGCATGGAGCTCACCTCGGGCTCACCCACCTATCTGCAAGTCGGCTCGGTCGCCGGCCTCGGCGGAACGCTGGAGATTGTCGCCACAGGCTCGTACCGTCCGGTCCCAGGCCTTGCCTTTCGCGCGCTCAGCTACCGTGTCAAGACAGGCGCCTTTAGCAACGTCATCTACCGTGATCTCTCGTCGCCCGCGCCTCCGCCGATGGGCCCGGCACCGCCGCCGGCGCCGCCGACCAACGCCTCCCGCGCCGCCCGCCGGTCACTAGCGCAGTCATCGGCCGGAACCGTCCAGTCAGCTTCGCTCGTCTGTGGCGCCTCCGAGTGCGTGGTCACCCTCCTTGACTCGACGCCGGCCTCAAACACCGGCCTCGAGTCCGAGATCATCATCGGGGTCGTCGTTGTCGCCGGCCTGGCCCTCCTCGCCATCGGCGCCATCTTTTGCTACTGCTTCTGCTTCAAGACCAAGACCAAGACCGGCCCCAACGCTCTGCAGCGTCGCCAAACTACCCAGCCGCAGTACGCTGCGGGTAAGACTCGCAGCCACGACTCGTCATCGTCCGGCTGCGAGTACGGCATCATCAGCAAGGCATCAGCCAAGAAAAGCAGGCCCAGCCGTCCCGATCCCATGTCGTGGTCGTCAACCCAGTCGGGCCCAGGCTCGGCCTCGGCCTCGGCCTCGGCCTCGGCGTCGTACTCTGCATCGTCCTATTCGTGATGCATGCACCGCGCCGCCCACAGGCCACCCACGGGGTGCCTTTGCCTTAGACCGGCTAACGAAAGCCATCCTCTCTACCATTTGCTCGCCCATCTCTCATAACCTGTAAATCGTTGCGAGCTTGACCAGTCCGCCGCACAACAGCCCCGCCGCGTCCACGCCACTCGTCTCCACTCGCTGCCACTCCCTCCACACATCTCCATCACGTCATCGATTACATGTCCGACGCCATGTTCGAGGAGAACCAGGTCTGGTACCGAGTCCTGCGCATGCTCAACTTCTCGATTCCTCACGCTGACTATGCCGCGAGCTATGCCGATGATCTGAGCCAGAGCGCAGCTTGGGGCGCTTCCATCGAAGCCACTCATGGCCGCCTCATCGACTTCCTGCAAGACTCGCCGGCCGATGATGGCATTGCGCTCGACGACCACTTGAAGATGGCACGGACAAAAGCCGTCAAGCCGATCCGAGAGATGCTCGCGCCGTATGCTGTTGCCGCAGCCACGCTTCCGTCCGGCCTCATGTTGCCGTTTACCGGTCGCAACGGCCTCAAGTCGTTGGCCAGCGATCGTCCGCCGCCGACGCCCGATGCGACGGGTGATGACGACACGCGACCCCGCTTGCTCTCCATCGACATCGTCAAGGCCAACTGGACTGTGCTTGCCCTCCGATGCCGAGCAGAATGTGGCATCGCTGGGCGTGAGCCATGGCTCTCGTGGCCCGATGCGCTGGAGGCACTCGGTCTCCCGCCGCTCTTTGCTCACCATCGGTTCTTCCGCCAGTGGGCCGTCTCCACCACTCCAGAGGTACCTGCTGCTGCTGTTGTTGATCTCCAACAGCAGCTTGTACTCCACGCCCAGGCTAGCCTTGCCCTGGCCCTCGGAGTGTCTGCTTCTGATCTCGACGCTGCCGTCGTCTTCCGCTCCAATGACGAGGTCGTCTTTGACCTCGACGTTGCCCCGGCTTCCCTCGACGACCTACACGCTGCCCTCGCTGCGGGCCTGGACCTTGGTGCACCTTGGCTGGCTGGCGAGCCGCTGTGTCTTGGCTCACATCTCCACGCCACGGCCTACTCGCTCCACGCGGTCGAATCGGGCTTCATCAAGCACATCACTCATGTTGACGGAGCCGCACAGCGTCTCCTCACCACCTTTGCTGTGCCTGGCCATGCATTCTGGTCGATGACCACCAAGTACGTGCTGGGCATCGAGCGGAAGTTCCACCATACCCTCGAGGATCCAATCTGTGCCTCGCTTCACAATGCTGGTCTCGCACCCGGACAGGTCAATGCTGCAGCTGTCGCGGATCTCGCTGCTCAGGCCACTGCTGCTGCTGCGGATCGGGACTTTCCCTACGGCAGGTCTGCGCATCGCCACATCCGCATTGGACCGTCGGCGCTGGTTCCAGTTGCGCCGCACGTGTTCGTCGGATCCAAGCTCGACGCGGCATCTCCCGAGCTGCTCGCGGCGCTCGGCATTGTTCGCGTCATCAGCGCACGAGCCAAGCAGAGCAGGTCTGTAGAAGCTGCCCGTGCACTGTTGCGGGATCTGGACGATACTCCAAACATCGGTACGTCTGATGAGCATGCTATCATGTTTATCGGGCCCGAGACGTCTGCAGGAGGCGCGGCGGCGGCCGCAGCGTTTGCGGTGGCGCGGCTCGGCGTGGCGCCGGCCGACGCCCAGGCCGCAGTCGTCCGCAGCCGCGGCCAAGCGGATGCGTTGACCACAGCTCAGGCCCAGACGCTTGCCGCACTTCACGCAGACCTGTAGCGAGGCAGCGTTAGGCACTCTCAGCTGCGGCAGGGACGTAAATCTTGGGCAGGCCCTTGCCCATCGAGACGGTGAACGCGCCGCTGGCGCCGGTGACGAGGCAGTCCGAGTCGGCCGGGACGGCCAGTGCGTTACAGATCTTGACGCCCGCGGTGTACGGCGAGTAGGTGATGGAGATGTCAAACGAAGCACCCGAGTTGGTGAGAGCGACCAAGGTAGATCCGCGGGAAAAGGCGTAGAAGTTATCGGTCGAGTACCGCTGGACTTGCGGGAAGGACCAGGCCGTGGTGTTCTTCCGCAGCGAGTTGAGCTGCGCGAGGAAAGCGTACATGGGCGTCGAGGTCTGGAACTTGGTGGGCCAGAGGATCTCGCGGTTGGCCGGATCGTTGCCGCCGGCAAAGTACTGCTCAGTCCCGTAGTACACAATGGGCACGCCTTGTGAGAAGAGGACAAAGGTGAGAGCGTTGAGGTACTGCGGGATCTTGTTGGTGTTCTGGTAGAGGAACCGCGGGTTGTCGTGGTTGTCGATAAAGGTACCAAGGATGGAGGCGTCCGGAAAGCCTTTGTAAGCGTCGACCTGCGACTGGATGAGGTTCATCGACTGGCCATCCTGGAAGACGGAGCGTAGGGTGAAGAACATTGGATACGAGAGCGTGGCGTCGACGCCGTGCTTTTGGTACGCGATGTTGCACTCGACCGACGAGTAGACCTCGCCGACAATGTAGACGCCAGCCTCAGCCTGGACCCGGGCCCAAAAGTCCTGATTGATGTACATGACGGTGTCGGCACGAATGCCGTCAAACTGGTACTCGCTGATCATGCGGCCGACCCAAGCGACGAGCTCGTCGGCCACGGTAGCGTTCTGCTGATTGAGATCCGGCAGGCTTGCCAGCCGGCAGTGGAGGACTTCCTCGGTGAAGCACACGTACTGAGACACGCTGCACTGAGGATGGTAGTCGCCTGGATGTGAGAAGGGAGTGATGGCCGAGAACTGCGAGCCAACAGGACCAACGTGATTGAGGACAATGTCCAGCATGACCCACATGTCGCGACGATGGGCGGCGTCGACGAGGGCCTTGAGATCAGCTGCGGAACCAAAGTGAGAGTTGATGGTGCTAAAGTCCTTTGCCCAGTAACCATGATAACCACCAGGAGTATTGGTGACAACCGGCGAGATCCAAATGGCATCAAAGCCCATGCCCTCGATGTAGTCAAGATGATCAATGAGACCAGAAAAAGTTCCTCCACAGTAATCGTTGAGATTGCATGAATCCGTCACAGGACCTCCAAACCGGTCTGTCAGCACCTGATACACGCTCCGCGCCTTCCACTCTTCGGCACTACCACACAGCCCATGCTTAGTCACCAGTACCACCAGGAAAACTCCGGCGAGAAGTAGTTGCTTGGTTGTAGCCATGTCTTTTCCCCCCTGTTCTACGTCAAGTGGGGTGTGGGGTGACGGGTCGGGGTCGGGGGGAGGGTGGCGGTGAGCCTGGGAGGAAGGCGGCAGGCCAGGGGCTGGTGGTCGGCGCTGCGGCTGTGGTGTGTGGTATGGTGAGGAGCGGGGAATGATCTGTATGTTCATGATGGCTTCTCCACTACCATATTCGAGTCAAAGTCGTCCTCGATGGTCATGTCTGCGGCCGAGGCGTCTGCGGCAACGGCGTCGGATGACGGTGGTGCGGCCGAGCCGTCCGGGTTGGGCGGCGCGGGATGCGCGCCGGCGGACGCTGAGCCGTCAGCAGGGTGAAGCTCTTCGCGCTGCATGATAAACGGATGATTGAGGGCAGCGGCGGGCTTGATGCGCGTGTCCGGGTCGTAGATGAGCATCTGGCGGACGAGGTCGACAAACACACGGTAGTGTGCCGGCGAGTGGCCGGGCATGCTCTTACGGCGGCCGGCCGGGCCTCCGGTCTCGACGCCGACGATGTCATCGAGTCTGCGCGGCTTGATCTTGTCCTTGCGGAGGTAGACGTACTCGTCGGACGACTGGTCCGGGAGACGGAAGTGGCGTGAGACTTTGACGCCAGCGCGGAGCATTTCGACCGGAGGCATGCCGCAGACCGAGATGATCTTGTCCATCTGGTCCGCCTCGGTGCGGCCGGCGAAGAGCGGCTCGCCGGTGTGCATCTCGACGAGGATGCAGCCGAGCGACCACATGTCGATGGCGGCGGTGTAGGGGATGCCCAGCAGGACTTCTGGCGAGCGGTAGAAGCGCGACTGGATGTAAGAGTAGAGCTTCTCGTTGGAGCGACAGGAGGAGCCAAAGTCGATGACCTTGATGGCGGAGCGCTGCGGCGACTGTAGAAGGATGTTCTCGGGCTTGAGGTCGCAGTGGATGATGTTGATGTGCGGGCGCGACATAAAGTGGAGGGCGAGGAGGATCTGGGCGCCAAACTTGCGGATGAGGTTGAGCGAGACGCCTTGGAAGTTTGTGTGGCGCAGCAGGTCGTAGAGGTTGTACGAGAGGAGCTCAAAGACAAGTACGAGATGCGAGTGGTAGACAAAGGTGTCGCGGAGGCGAACAATGCAGTGGACGTCCTCCGGATCCTCGCTGTTGAGCAGCTGCAACAGTTGGCGCTCGATCTTGGCCTGCTGGAAGAAAGCCGTCTTGTTCTTGATGATTTTGAGGGCCACCTTTTCCTTGTTGAGCCGGTCGTAGCCCTTGGCGACTTGGCCAAACGAGCCGCGGCCGATGCGCGAGATAATCTCGTATCGGTTGTCAAAGACCTCGCCAGGCTTGATGATGTAGTCAAAGTTGGCATCGTCGTGCGACGACTTTTTGGCCGCAGCCTTGGCCTTCTTCTTTGCGGCGTAGTACACTTCGTTGATGTGGTTGTACGTCACAATGAGGTTGACCGAGAGCTTGTGAAGAGGACGGGTGTGTGGGTTGCGGACAACAATGACGTCTGAGCTGGCTTCTGTTCCCGGCGCGCTCTCGCCGTCGCCGACCGGTGACGACACCATGGCGGTGGCCTCGGCACCTCCCGAGCCTGCGGACGGAGGCGGAGCGCCATTCGCGCCAGCGCCGCTACCGCCGGACCGAGCCCTTGCCGCGGCGTCGTCCTCGTCGGAATCGCCATCGGACTCGTCCATGGCGTGCTGTGGATCACGAGCAGTCGTGTCGGTCACAGCAACGCCGGCGCGCCCCCCCGCGTCCTCGATCTCGCCTCCGCCTCCACTCTGGGCCAGCCTCCCAGCGCTTGCATCGTCGTTGCCAAGGCCGACCACCGACGACGGCGACGGCGACTCGAGCTCCATGTCGCGGACCGAGGCCACGACGCCGACACGCATCGACTCGATCAGTGCTTGAGCCTCACTCGAGTGAAAGTGGCTGCTTGCCCGAAGCGCCTCGCTGGCGTCTCTGCCCATGACGGACGCCAACGCCTCGCCACATGGCACGTCTCCGCCGGACTTGATGACCCAATCGGTGATATCGTACACCATACCGTTAATGACAACGTGCCCTTGCAGCTCCGCTACTTGCTCGAGCGTGAACCGCCGGTTCTTGCCAGCTCCTGCGCCAGCAGCGCCACCACTTGATGCAGACATCACAGCCTCGATGGCGTGCTGTTCTGTTAGCTGCTTGCCTCACACACGCAGGTGAGCGAGTTGACGTTGAGCAACCAGTGCCTCGAGCCTACCAGCACCGGCCTTGTGGTTGTTGCTTGTGAGATGCGCGGCGCCCTGTTGTGCAGCGGCGGTGCGTTCATGCCATCATTGAGTTTGGCAAGCGCAAGTAAGCGGCGAGCAGTGAGGGTGGCCATTGAGAGCAGGGCGGGGGGTGGGGCGGAGGTGGGGGGGGGGGGGGGAGGAGGGGTCAGTGTTCGCAGTCGCGATCAGTTTGGGCGGGAGACCGAGAGCCGATCGGGAAGGTGGAACCGGCCAGAGTCGAGAGGGTGAGAGAGTTGCGGGGAAGGGTTTCCGGAAGGGGGAAGAGAGGGTGCAGTTGTGAGTATAGCATACATGTGTGTGTGAGGGGGGTGGGGGGTGGGAGGGAGGGGATGGGTAAGGGTATGGAGAAGGGAAGGGGGAAGAGGCAATGGTTGTGGGAAGGTCGTCCTGAAGAAGGTCGTGATACGACACGCGGTGTCAGTTGATCACAACGGCTGGTTGGGGAAGAGAGAGGGAGTGGGGGAGAGGAAAGGGGAAAGGTGTATACACACACATAGCGAGTGTAGATGGTTATGTAGTATGTTGCTATGGTTGGGGACGGGGTATTGTTCAAGAAGTATTCATGGCTCCCTCGCCTTGGCTAAGGTCGTGGCCGGTGGCTGACTGGAAACGTACTCAAGGAAAAGCCGTTGGTCGTGGTGTTCCCCAAGGGCGCCAAGTGCGAGCTGTCGACAGCACAATTGATCGAGTCCAACCATTGGTGAGCCAAAAAGGAATGATCCAGGTGGAATCTGACCATTAATTGCCGAAAAAAACCATCGTTTCCCTGACCCCCCCCTTTTGCAGCAGAGGGCAAGATCATGATGATATGATGGGGATGATTACGAGAGGGGGCGTGGGAGGGAGGGAGGGGCGGCGGCGGTGGCGGCGGGGGGGTAGGTGAGTGTTATTTTCAGCTCATGGGTCCTGGGTATGGGCCATGGTCCTGACCATCGATGAATGATTTGATCGTGTGGAGGCCATCAAGTAGCCGATTATTGAGATTATTGTGATGAGATGGCACCGGCCGTTGGTTGCTTGGTTGGCCACCACCACTCGCCACTCGGCCCGCCAACAGACCGTAGGGACGGGGTTGGTTGAAGTGAGCCCAGGAGGACGATTCGTGCACAAGTGGGCAAGACCAAGGACATAGACAGATAGCTTAGTGAGAGGACAACAAGGTCGTGTGGTTGTTGATTGGCTACAGGTGATATGCAGGCTGTTATTGCTCGTATTGTGGCAGACATCCGCAGACGATGTGCGAGCGAGTTTGGCATGAAGGTGGCGCCAGCACTGGCCGGCGCAATGGTTCGCAAAGTGGTTCTGGATCCATCGGCTGGCTTTGAACTGGACAAAGAGCTGAGAGATGATGATGTGGAGCGACTGGTGGAGATGGCGGTGGAAGCACTGGCCGAGGAGAACTCGCCAGAGTTGGACGCCCTCAAGCTGAGCCTCGACTACGACTCGCTGAGCTCGGAGAATCCTGTCCTTGTCCGGGCGCTAGAGCGAGAAAAGGCAGCCGATGCCATGCGCAAGTCGCTGCTGGAGGATGTCATCAAGTCCAAGGCTCGCGGCATTGCTGCCCTCTCGGCACTCTACCGCAAGATCCTCAACTATGTGGTGGCAGCCGGCCGCCTGACCGAGGTTGACACGGCGGCGAGTGCAGGGGCCGGCGCGGGAGCAGGAGCTGTGAGTGGCGGCGATGTTGGCGACGACGCCGCGGGTGAGGAAGAGAAGAGTGTGCTGCTTGCGCCGTCGAGCGCGATGCTGAAGGAGTGCAACGCGGCGCTCGAGTCGATCTTCCCGCACTCTGAGTTGCCTGCCTTTGTCATGTTGTCGGCGTCGGACAAGACGCAGCAGCTGAACGAGATGGCCAAGATTGTGGTGGGCATTCTCTTGTACAACCGTAGCATCGGCAAGGGCGGCTCGCACATTGTGGACGTGCCTGGCGAGCTGCTCGACGAGTCGCGGCAGCTGCGCGAGGCCGTTTCTGGGACGGCGCATCTTTTGGCGGAGCGGATTTCGGGCTACACGGCGCTGCTCAACCACATCCAGTTTTGCAACGCGCGGCTTCCGGTCTCGCTCGATCGGCTCAACGCCGAGCTGAGCAACCGACGGCTGCTGCTGCAGTACATGGAGTCGCTGCTGGACACGGCGTCGGGGCTCAAGGCGACGGTCAACTCATCGATTGCGGCGCTGAACAACAAGCTCGACGGTATTCATGGCATCGTGGTGGCCAAGCACGCGGTGCCGACGGAGCAGGTCTACCCGCGGTTTGTCGAGGTCTTTCACATGTGGGACAACCTCGCAACACTGCGGCTGCAGGCCTCGTCGATCCGGCTTGTCTACGACACGATGAGCCGGTACCTCGACTCGTTCCGCTCGTCGCTCGAGCCTGCGCTGGTGGCGCAGGCCAACGCGGCGCTTGCGCAGTTGCAGCGCAAGGGTGAGGATGAGGGCGAGAGTGAGGACGAGGGCGCGGATGCGGGCGCGAGCGGCGGCGTAAGCGGCAGCGACGAGGCGGCGGCGGCAGAGACGCTCGCGCACGGAGTGTACGTCGCACCGCACGAGGTCGAGTCGAACCTCGGGCTGGCGGGCTATTGCCCGTGGACGCTCGTCTACCGCAACGCCATGCTCCTGCCGGGCGATGCGTCGCTCGGTGGGGTCCTCTTCCGTGGGCGTCACTACGTGTGCGTGGACGAGGCTGCGCTGGCGGCGTTCCAGGCGCATCCGGGCAAGTACCTGGCGACGATCGGCGAGCTCGTGGCCAATGACCCGGAGCTGATGGCGTTGCTGGCGGCCAATGAGCCTGACACGCTCGCGTGGGCGGCGGCGATGCTCGAGGGCGGCAGGAGCGGTGGGGCCGGCGCAGGCGCAGGCGCGGGCTTGGGCTTGAGTGCGGGAAGCGACGGCCCCGCGACGCGCGAGGTGGGCATCCAGACCGAGGTCCACCCGCTGGCGCCAAACAAGGATCCGGACTATGAGTGGAATGAGTGGAACTTGCGGCGCAAGGCGCTGATGTACGTCAACCTGCGGACCAAGGCGACGCGGTCTGCGCAGACGGCAGCGTCGGCATTCCGGGCCGAGGCGACAACGCAGCACTATATGCCCAAGGAGGCACGAACGCAAACAACCGTCGATGCGTCGACCAATGTCCATCCGCGTGCGCGGTACGTGGCAGGTCTCCGTGGCAAGCCCGGCAAAGGCCAAGTCCAAGTCGTTGATCTCACGCTGGACATCAACATTGATTGAACACGTTTGGCCTTCCCCTCCCCTCCCTCCTCCTCCTCCCCCCTTTACCACTATCCACCGACCGCCATGATGGCGATCTGAGCCTCTACGACCCAGTTCTAAGGCTAGCGGGCGCGATGTGAGAGGGCGATGGCGAGATGGACAGGCAGCCAACACACCGATGAACGACAAGGGATGAGGCAGGTCTCCTCCCCCCCCCCCCCTCCCCTCCTCCTCCTCCTGCACCCTCTACGTATCTTGAGCAGTTGGTACTTGACTCTACTCTCCCCCCATCCGCGGGCATAGGGCATAGATAGGACAGAGGAAGAGAGAGCGATGGCACCAGGAGGGCTTGATTCCATGGTTGTTCTCCAGATCCTCTGCGTGGCTGGCTCGTTGTCCTTGATGTTGTCTCCGTAGTATGTGTCGTGGGGAGAGGGAGAGGTGGCGGCG